ATATGCTTCGCCCCTCATCTTAGTAACTTGTGGAGCTACATCTATCCCTTTCCCTTTGAAACACCTTTAAGCAGCGATCAACCTGTATGCTTGCAACATTTATTAAGGCATCTTTGGGCTGGAAAAGTCCGCGCTATGCGTGAGCTAGATTAAACCACCTCTCTAGTAGAGGCATTAATTTTCAAACTTCACCTTATGTTAAGTTGTCTGATCGACAAACGCTTTGGCGCCATTCTCTGAAGAGCAATTCTAGTTAGATCAGATTGGGTAAGTCAGCACTTTTACTGCAGAGTAGAGTCCCACTGATGAAGGTGAAAGTGCAAAAATGGATCAAAGACGGATAACACAAGAAGCAAGAGAAGGTGGTAACGGTGACGTCCTCTGCTTCATAATGAACACAGGCATTATGCGTGGCAGATGAACGTTTGAGATAGAATGTCCTCCTCATGCTGCACATGATGGATGATAAGTTTCATTGTTTCATTTCTAAATGTAATATCTCATATCATCGAGTTATTGCTCCATGAACTACGAACATCCATTTAGTAAGTGATTGAGTAAGACTCAGCACAAGTAATTACGAGCACCGTCGGTTTAAACATTCATTGTAATGTCTGCAGTTTTACGACAAATGCTTAAAGGCAGCAACATTCAAGGCTGATCATGTGATTACGAGCTGAGTAATTGGACTTTCGCAGTTATTCTTTTTTTGAAAAGAGGGTAATATCAATCTGCAGACGTAGTGGTAGTGTGGAAAGTCATCCCTCGATAGTCTTACATTATAATATAAGGTGTTTAGTGTATGTATGGGCTATAAGGACAGTCCGCAATAGCGCTTGCTCCTACTTACTTCTATTTCAGTAGCACATATTTAAAGTATCAACACATAAGATAAAAAGCTAATTTGTACACATTTGGTCCAGAATATCTGTACCAGTATTTAATAAGTGACTTTCACAAGACAAGTGAAGTAATAAAAGAAGAAGGGATATTGTGCTTGCCAGGTGTCGGACTGCATCTGAAAGCATATTCATGGAAGGTAGCCACGCTAACCGCTGGCGGAAAACTAAAGAAAACTATGGAATCTCTAAAAATGATGTCAGGTCTTAAATATAGCTAGGCAGCTGTCAACCAGGCATCTAAATTTTTGCAAAAAATGAGCAACTTTTAAAATGCATTCTGATTTGAAGAGGCAAGACAAACCTAGTCCAACACAACTTTGATCCACTTCACTTTTATTGGCCGGTTGCCTACCCTTTCAGTCTGCGATCATTCGATTAATTACCACCAGACAACGCGGATAAAATTTGCGTGAGAATGAGAAGGATGAGGATTGGTAAGTACAACGTTTTCATTCATCTCAACTAAAGAGCAAAGTATATTACGAAAAAAATTGAGCATATCCTGATCTGCATTGTGCGAATGAATATGAAATCCGAGACCAGCACGAAAAAAAACGGCAGCCGAAAATGCAGAACTCCATATACATGTTTGCTACAGAGTCAGGGATTAGCCTCCTTTGTCTCATGCCTTCAGCATTCAATCACAGGATATTGCGTGTCTTTCGAGGTGAACACGACTGATGCTTTGGCGACTGCGGTAAGCCAATCCATTCCACTTAAACACCCCATTCCCTGCCTTAATTCACGCTGGCACTGGAGTAGCTTTTGAGGTCTTCTTCACTTCGCTTCCGGCAATAATCCCATTCTCGGATTCCGTACACCCGTCTGCACATATTTGTACGAATCGAAGTCACCAGCTGTGTCGACAGCAGTGCAGAAAGCATTTGATTTGGGAACACTGTTTGGGGAGTGGACTCCACTCTCCATTGCGGCACATTCCATAAGAAGTGGTGATAAGTAGCTAATCTGCAGAACCGGACTGCATCAGAGCCGTGACGAGGTAGAGGGGAGCAATGGGCGTGACTTCCCTTTTACACTAATAATACCGAAAAATACGATTAATGCAGATTGACGTCCAACTCGAATAAAATCTACATACTGCTGTTTGCAGTCAGAACCAATGGTGTTAAATCAACATACCGCTACTGATTTCTTCCACTCCCACATCGATAGGTGACTGGGGACACATCGGTGTGGTAACAAATGGAACAGATTTCCTCTCGACCATGAACAATGCAAATGAATCAAGGCTACATCATTTCCGTTTTCTTGGCTGGCCGCTGAAGAATTTTAGAGGAGTGGCACAATTTGAGCTGAAACCAGAAGCATTTCCTTCTAAATACACTTCACGCGATTCTGCACACAGGGCTCCACTTTTAAAAGGTTGAAGATGACCAACAACACGATCCTCCTGTGCAAGGGTGCGCCAAAAAGACATATGCTCGTCCTTTGCAGAAATATACTATAACTCCGCTTTAGCTGTGCACCGACACACAATCA